CTGTAGCTTTGCTAGACAGCATGGCTGGGATGGCTCCCAACACTGCTGGGGCCCAGGTCACATAGTAGTGCTGCCTCCCTCCCCGGGCCCAGGAAAGCCTGGTCAGCCTAAACCCCCTGCCTGCCACAGTGTCCAAGTTCACTGGGAGCCTGATTCCTTGGAGAGACCGCCACAGTCAGTACCAAACAGTGAAGGAGACTATAGCACCTTAGCACATTTAGAGAAGCCTCCGGGGAGCTAGCTGTGAGGGGAAGGGTTAGGGACAAGAGTGGATATTAGACAGTTAACCCCACAACACTGACCTACAGCCCTGACATAGCTCTCTTCCAGCTAGATCCCATGGTCCCAAAACTTAAAGACAGAGAACCTTCACCATCAAAAGTGCCTTCATATCGCAGCCAAAAGCCAGTGTGACGCGCACACAGGTGGGCACTTGCATGGGTGTATCTAGCCAATCTCAGATCGTCCATTCCTGCCAGGCTAGGACACACAACCTGTCCCCTCCCTCCAACATCTCCTTCCTCGTGCCCTGCTGGGTCTCCATGAATGTTGTACCGAGGACAAATCATGCGAGCGCATACCCGCCTGAGGGATCTATGGTACTCAGAGTTTTCTCTGGCGCCCCCGCATGTCAGAAATCAGAACCACAGTCGGGAATTAAGGTACTTTGGACGTTAACAGGAGAGACCAGTGCCTGAAGGACATGGCGCTTGACAGGGTAGAGGGGCAGTGAAAGAAAGAAAGGCCCTCGACAAGACGGACTGACAAGGTGGCTGCACCAATAGGCTCAGACATAAGAACAATTGTGAGGATGGCGCAGGGCCAGCTGTGTTTCGTCCAGTTGTACACAGACCCCTAACAACTACACCCAGCACGCGCATGGCATCTACACACAGAGCGGCACATCGGGGTGCAGGTCTGGTTGTCAACATGCCCCTTGCTTGTCTGGAGGGTGGGTGCTGTGAGTGGTTTTGGGGAGGGAAGTGATAGCCGCAGGGTCTCTGCTGTAAATGTTCAGAAATGCCATGGTGGTGTTTGTACAACTCTGCAAATGTACCGGGAACCATTGAATTGACACTTAGTTGAGTGGATGGTGTGGTATTGAATTACATCTCAATCAAACCCTTACCCCCGATCCCAAAGACAACCCAAAACAACAACAACAAACCACCTTGTAAAATGATTGTGGTGGTAACTGCACAACTCTTGAGAATGTTTACACCATTGGCGTGTATGGTATGGGAATTCTATGCCAATAAACGTGAAGAACCAAACAGCCTGTTGCAGGTGTAAGAATTCTGATTCGGGCAGCCCCGTGTATAGAACGACTCCATGGGGTTTCTGGGCTTTCATCTTTTCAGCAGGAGCCTTGGTGGCACAGTGGTTAAGCGCTCAGCGGCTAGCTGAAAGGTCTGAAGTTCAAACCCCGGCTCTGGGAGAGGGAAGTGTGGTCGTCTGCTTCCGTGAAGATCGTGGCTGCAGTTGTAGGTGCTGTCAAGTCAGATCCGGCTCACAGTGACTCTGTTTACAACAGAACTAAACATTTCCGGCCCTGTGCCATCCCACAGTGGTTCCGAGCCGTGGATGCAGCCACGGCATCTATCCAGCTTCCGCTTTTTGATGGCCCTCTACCGAGCATAGTGTCCTTCTCCAGGGACTGGTCTCTCCTGACAACATATCCAAAGTATATGACGAAATCGCTCCATCTAACGAGCATTCTGGCCGTACTTCTTCCAAGATAGATTTGTTTGTTTTTTGGCAGTCCACAGAACTTTCTGCATTCTTCACCAACGTCATAATTCAAACGCATTGATCTTGTTCAGTCTTCCATGAAGATTGCCACCTTGGACATTGTATGAGGCAGTTCTACTTTGTCCTAAAAGGTCATTGAGTCAGGATCAACTTGATGGTGATGGGTTTGTTCTGATTTGGGTTAACCCTTACTGAAACGGGTTGCCAGGCCTTTACTCTGCAATGGGTTTGAACAGCTAAATTATTAATTTATAAATAGAAGGGGGGAAAAGGGCCAGAGGACCCACATGGTGCTGACTCCACTTCCCTCTGCTGAACTCTCTCTGGGTGTTTTTATGGCTGAGAAGTTTTTACAACTTTGCCCTCATGTGCCCGACCATATTCGTGGATAAAAATGCCTATGTAGAAATGGACCAAACGTGCTTTTTCATAGTGGAATCCCATTTGCCTTCCTGCCCCTGTTTAACTTGGGTACCCTTCTACTCATAGATGGTCATCATTACAGTCCTGGCGGGATTGCCTGCGTACTAGCGTTTAGCTTTGCTGCCTTCAACTCCTGGCCTCTCCCCAGTGTCTTGTTCTGGGGTTTTGTTTTAGGAGTGTAGCATATTTGACCACTGTGTGCTCACCTCCGCTTATTCTGGATTGCTTTTCTCGATATTAACCCAAGCTAATCCCTGTCTACCCTCTAGTTAGCGACTTCCCCTCTCCTCTTTCCCTCTCACCCTGGTAACCATCAAAGAATATATCTTTGTGCTTGTGTATCCCTTTGATGAACTTCTCATAGCAGCGATGCCAGGGAGTAGTTGCCCTTTTGGGATCCATCGATTTCACTCAGCATAATGTCCTCCAGATTTATCCATGTTAGGCTACGTTGTCTAGAGAAACAAAACTAGTGACAATCATTTATATATAAACTCAAGTCCACAGGTCCAATACTAGCTGAGTCCTCTTCAGACTCACGTAGCTGCAGCTCCATGATGCTGAGAGGTGAATTAGGATGCTGGAAGATCACAGGCCTTTGGGCGCAAAGCCCTGGGGAAACATAGCAGGGGGCTGACAGCTCTCCGGGTCTGTGGCCCACACGGAGCCACCCCTGGAGGCAGCAGGCACTGCGGCCCAGCAAGCAGGAAGATGAAGGGGCAGAGAGAGGTGGAAGTTCCCAGTTTCTCCCTTACAAAAAGGCCACCCTCCCAGGAAGGCCTGACAAACTCCACCCCTACACAGGGTCAAGTTGACCCACAATCTAACAGGCCACAAATAACATCCCATTGTATTCATCCGTTCATCCCCTGATGGGCACTTAGGTAGTTTCCAACTTCTTGCCCCTTTGAAGAATGCTGCTGTGAACATGGGTGTGCCACCCCCTTCTTGACACCAACTATCTTTGCTTTGAAGGCAGAAGATGCAGGAGAACTTTCCAGCTGATTCTGGGGGTGCAAGGGACACTGGGGAGGGAGTACAGCAGAGTGGAATAGAGTCAGGACCACGTGGGTGT